GTGCCTCTGGGGCAGTAGCAGTAAAGTTAAGGACCAGAAGGAACCAGCCACACACTCAGGAACCCAGAAGAAAGCACATTCCAGGCCAAGGTGACAGCTAGTGCAAGGGCCCAACTAGGCGCGGACCTGGAGTGTCCAAGAGGCAAAAGGAATTCCCGTGGGTTGATGCCTCGTTCTGAGGGAGGGAATGGATGGGAGGCGGCTGGAGAGAGAGGCAGGGGCTGGTTTCTGTAGGGCATCACAAGTCTAGTGAAGGAGACTGGATTTTATTCCAAGTGGACTTTCTTTTTTTTTTTTTTTTGAGATAAGAGTCTTGCTCTATCACCCTAGCTCACAATAACCTCAAGCTCCTGGGCTCAAGGAGTTATTCTGGCTGGGCATGGTGATGGGCACATATAGTCCCAGCTACTCGGGAGGCTGAGGCAGGAGGATTGCTTAAGCCCAAGAGTTTGGGGCTTCTGTGAGCAAGGCTAATACCACAACACTCTAGCCTCGGTGACAGAGTAAGATTGTCTCAAGAGATAAAAGGGAGGTTTTGTTTTTAAAGATAGGAGGTTGTTCAAGGTAGAGAATGATTCTCCAGAGGAGAAAATGAGGGTGAAAGAGAGAGGTGGTAAGATCATCTCACCTTGGGAAGCCAGAGGGATAAGGCCAGAGCATAGGTGGGGGCCAGCTGGAGACAGGAGCAGGGCCCTCCACAGGTGCAGAGGGATGGAGGCTGGTGAGGCTGCAGATGGGGAAAGCTGTGTCCGCAGTGGGAAGGCCAGGGCTTTCCTGCTGACTGCTTCTAATTTCTCACTGAGGACAGTCCCCGGGAGGTCACAGGGTGGAAGGTCCCAGTGAGAGAGGACTGGCAGAATGCAAGGCAGGCAGAATGCAAGTGTTTCGGGGAGGAGGGCCCTGGACATGCTAGGGGAGTGTGTGGGGCTGAGCCAGGCAATGCTGAATGCCTGTTAAGGGGTGCGGCTACGCAAGTCTTCCTAATGTTAGCAAGAAGGTACCATGGTTGCTGTACTCATTTTATACCTGTGGAAACAAAGTCTTAGGGAAGTTAAGTAACTTGCGTAAGGCCATAAGAATAGAATCTGAACGCAGGAGGACAGGCTCTTAACCAGAGATCTTCAAACCCTGTGGAGACATGGACACCTTCCAAGGACTAATGGGACTGACAGTTCTAAGAGCATCTATTTCCAGATCCTCAAATTTCCTTTCAACTATTTTCTAAAATAATTGTCTTTTATTTTTTTTGGAGACAGAGCCTTAAGCTTTAGCCCTGGGTAAAGCGCCATGGTGTCACAGCTCACAGCAACCTCCAACTCCTGGACTTAGGTGATTCTCTTGCCTCAGCCTCCCAAGTACTGGGACCACAGGTGCCCGCCACAATGCCCAGCTATTTTTTGTTTGTAGTTGTCACTGCTGTTTGGAATGCCCGGGTTGGATTCGAACCCTCCAGCTCTGGTGTATGTGGCTGTTGCCTTAGCTGCTTGAGCTACAGGGACTGAGCCTAAAATAATTGTGGGACTGAGCCTAAAATAATTGTCTTGAGGATGCTCGCAGGTGTCCACAAGAGCCCTTATCTCACTTTACAAAAGAAAGGCACACCCTTCACCAGCCCCACACCTCCCTTTGGTGAATGTTGCAAGGTGGAAACACTGTCAAGCCTCACCAAACAAAGCGGGAAAGGCTGTTCTGACAATGAATCCAGCCTTATACATGCTGTCGGTTAAAAATGAACATGGCATCAGGAATGGGGCATTCAGGTAGTAGAAGTGAGAATGTTGTCTTAGAATTTAATCAGAATAATGACAGAATACATGAGCACTCTGAAGGGAAGGGATATTGGCACATCCAACAAGAACTTCATTCACAGGGTCAGAAAGCATGAGAGTGAAGGGGATCAGAATGGGCCACCCCTAAATATGCCACTTTTGCATTAGAATTATTTTAAACTGAAGGCAATTGAGAAAAAGCAGATTAGAGGAAAAGTTCCAGATCCTCCTCTCTCCATCCAAAAGCAGGGCATCAATTCCCCTTTGTGAAGGTGTCTCCCCCTCCTCTCTCCTGTATCAGGAAAAAGCAACAAATGGAGACCTGACAACCTGAATCTGCATAAATGAACCTCACTACCTCACTGAAATAGCCCCTATCTCCCATTAGCTTCCCCCGTATATTTGTCTTTCCATAATTTACCATCCCTCAAAGTCTAGACCCCTTTTTCTTTGCCTTGTCCACAATTTATTGCTTTGTTAAAATGGCTTAGTGAGTAGGGCGCTGGCCACATACACCACGGCTGGAGGGTTGGAGCCCAGCCTGGGCCTGCTAAACAATGACAACTGCAACCAAAAATAGCCAGCCGTTGTGGCGGGTGCCTGCACTCCCAGCTACTCAGGAGGCCAAGGCAAGAGAATCACTTAAGCCTAAGAATTTGAGTTTGCTGTGAACTATGATGCCACAGCACTCTACTGAGGGCAACATAGTGAGACTCTGTCTCAAAAAAAAAAAAAGCCTTATAAGCTACAGGCCTAACTGCTTCCTTGGGGTTTCCACTTCTTTCCCATGAAGCCCCCTCCTATATCACATAAAAATATGAACATCAAGGGCGGTTCCTGTGGCTCAGTGAGTAGGCTCAGTGAGTAGGGCCCCATATACCGAGAGTGGTGGATTCAAACCCAGCCCCGGCCAAACAGCACCAAAAAAATAGCTGGATGTTGTGGTGGGCACCTGTAGTCCCAGCTACTAGGGAGGCTGAGGCCAGAGAATCGCCTAAGCCCAGGAGTTGGAGGTTGCTGTGAGCTGTGTGACGCCACAGCACTTGACCAAGGGCAGTAAAGTGAGACTCTGTCTCTACA